ACACCATGGTGACCAGCTCAGCACTAACACCATGGTGACCAGCTCAGCACTAACAACATGGTGACCAGCTCAGCACTAACACCATGGTGACCAGCTCAGCACTAACACCATGGTGACCAGCTCAGCACTAACACCATGGTGACCAGCTCAGCACTAACCCCATGGTGACCGGCTCAGCACTGACCGCATGGTGACCGGCTCAGCACTGACCGCATGGTGACCGGCTCAGCACTAACACCATCCTGACCAGCTCAGCACTAACTCCATCGTGACCAGCTCAGCACTAACATCATGGTGACCAGCTCAGCACCAACAACATGGAGACCAGCTCAGCAGTAACACTGTGATAACGTGAAAAGCGCTTTATCAAATGCAAGGATTATTATTATTATTATTACCAGCTCAGCACTAACATCATGGTGACCAGCTCAGCACTAACATGATGGTGACCAGTTCAGCACCAACTCCATGGTGACAAGATCAGCACTGATATCATTGTGACCATCTCAGCACGTTCACCACGGTGACCAGCTGTTCACTTTCACCACAATGACCAGCTCAGCAATAACGCCTTTGTAACTAATTGTGATTGATCAAAGTCACAGCCCAGGTGCAGTGAGGCACTATACAGCGCCTCTGTTATCACTGTCCCTTGCTTTAGCATCAAGATGGTATATGTCAGTCCGCAAGCTCTCACCGTGACAGTTATTTGCTAGCTGGTTTAACCACCGAGAACCTCCAGTTGTAAGTGTTATCTAATTTAATATCCTGCGTTGAAGTATGAACTGCAACACATTTCCTTGTAAATAGTAAAACGTTATAAAAGATTAGCAAGCATATACATAATCAAAATTACACATTTATTCGAATCACATTTATGTTTACAAAGTGTTCGTAATCAAATCAAAGTTTACCGCAGATTAGTAAAGTTCACCGCAATTGGTTAATCGGATGAATATATTGGCTTGGATGTTGGAATCGCTCAGGTACGGTTACCATCAGCTGTTTATGAATAAAGAACACAAGCCGTCAAACAACAACTATTAGAGCTGCAGCTGTGCATATTCAATAGTTTCCTACACTTTACCCCTTTTTCTCTGTCCTATCATAAACTTTTCACCTCTTCCTCCCTCTCTCGGTTACTCATCTCCCTCCCGCTTTTCCTCCTTCCGCAATCCCACCCCAACTCCAAACACAGATAATCTCTATTCTCACACTCTCTTAGCCCTCGTAGTCTCTACTTCATTCCCTCAGCCATTCCCCCTCTCTAACCCTCTCAAACTCAATCTTTTTCTCAATCGCCCTCTCGCTTTACCATTCTCAATCTCTCCATCCAATCCCTATCTCTGTCCTTCTGTAACATTCTTGTTTCTCTCTCTCTGCGAAACGCTCCCTCTCAATCATTCTCTCCTTCTCTCGCTCAGCCGCCCCCCTGGTACTTCTCAATCGTACACTATCACTCTCCTCCTCTCAATCATTCTGTTCCGCTCTCTTACATTGACTCTCGCTCTCACACACTCTTAATAATAATAATAATAATCCTTGCATTTGATATAGCGCTTTTCACGTCGGGAGGACGTCCCAAAGCGCTTCACAGAACACACTGTAAAGTGAATTGACTGTATATTTGTGGGCGAACGCGGCAGCCAATTGCGCACAGCAATGTCCCACAAACAGTCGTAGATTGAAAATGACCAATTTAATTATTGTTTTTAGTTTTGGAGGGATTATTATTAGGCGTGTGGAGTAAGGAAACTTGCCCAAGGTTTCACCCTCTGCCTGGAATTGAACTCAGGTCTCTTACTTGCAAAGCGAGTGCTCTAACCACTGAGCTACAGGACTCCACTGAGCTACAGGACTCTTCCCACAAGCATTCTTTATCTCCCCTCTTCCACTCTCTCTGCATCACTCTATCTCTTCTCTCCCCTTCTCTCCCGATCTCCCTCACATTCTCTCTCTGTCAACCGCTCTATATCTCTCAACCACTCTCCTTTGTGGCTGCCCGTTGGAACATCCCGTAAATTATGCAATAAAATTTCGGATTACAACGTTCACTGTCACCCAGTCTCGTTCTTTGCCTCTCTCTCTCACATCCTGCCTCACTCTTACTCAATCTCTCAACGTGTCTCACACGGGCTCTCATTCTTTTTATCTCTCCCTCTGATGCTGTCTCAACCTCAGACTCTCTCTCTCTTTCTCTCTCTCCCTCACTGTCTCGCTCTCTCACTCACACTCAATCAGTCTCGCTCTCAACCAGTCTCTCTGCCTCTCTCTCGCTCTCTCACACACACTCAGTTTCTCTCTTAGTCTGAGTCCCACTGTCAATCTCTCAAACTATCTCTCACACTCAGTCTCTGTGTCTCTCACTCAATCTGTCTTTATCTCTCTCTCTGTTACTCTGTCTCCCCTTCACTCATTCTTTCTCAGTCTCGAACACAGTATCTATCTGCGTTAGGGTGACAGGTGATGTGAGAGCACCATTGTAATCAGACTAAATCTGGTATTGAATATAGGCGACGATGCGGAGATGGAGTGAGGAGAGTGAGAAACTCATATCCGCTAGCCTCCGCGCTAAACTCTCACTGTGGCGTAGACAGGACCTTCTTCCTCATCAGCTTCACGGCCATTACTACTCCTGTTTCCTAACGTCAAATTGACGTAGATGATGTCAGCGTCCTGCAAACGGGCCAACAATTAACACATCTGCTGGAGTTCAGTGAGAAAACACCTTCCGCCAACGCCTCCCACACACATGCGATCCCTACGGATGTTAAAATGCATGCAAGTGTGATCAAGTAAAGTGATCCTTGTTAAATTCCCTCCTAAATAAAGAGGAGCCGATAGTAATGATAATATTCTTGCATTTACGTATTTCCTCTGATGTGAATGGCGCTGCTTCTATGTAAGACGTAAATATACACACAGACGTATACAGATATACAGACTCACATTCACACACACAAACACACACACACACATACACACACAGGTATACGCACAAGCACTGACAAACACTAAAACTAGCTAACAGACCGACACAGATCCATTCACAGACAGACACACACAAACATGGACAGACAAACACACAAATATATGTTTTGCATGGTTCTCAGTTTGCGAGTATGACTGAAAGTGGTTTACAACACTTTCTATCAATGGTAGGGACAGTAAAATCATAACCCAATGCAGCAACCAAATTGTGCACAGAAACGTCCCTGCAACTCACAGTCACTCCTCTATATAATAAATCTTGTGAAGTGCTTTGAGATATCCTCATCATGTAAAAGTAATTATACCGAAAGCAAAAAATATTATTATTTTGATGAAAATAGCGAGCATTTAGTGTCGGCCAAGATAATGGGAGATACGCCATTCTCTTTCACAGTAATGTCCAAGAATCGACTTCGGCTTAAACCGATGGCTTTCTGGCTTAGTCGACAGTGCTGCCGGCTGATCCAGGCTGAAGCAGAGCCTGAGCTGTGTTGAGCCAGGTTAGTATAAGGCCTGAGCCAAACTGACAGATATTCTGAGCTCGGCTGTACAGGAACTGAGCTGGGCTGACAACGTGCTGAGCTGGGCTAACACAGGGCAATGATGCTGTCACTACTCACCGCTGCAGGCGCCGTCCGTGGAGCCTTTCTCACCGTTGCATCTGAAACAACGGAAACTGGATTTAACACAAGCACAATTCAATAATCTCATTATGATTGAATAGTATTATTAAGGATAATAATATCATTCAATCGTAGTGAGATTATTGAATTGAATAATAATAATATTATTAATGACAATTAATAATTAAGAACGATAATGCCGATACTAACCAACGGTAATACATAGATAATCAGTGCATTTGAAAAAAAATACTCATCACGACAACGAGATGTCGCAAAGCGCTTCAAAAGATTGACGATATATTGGAGTTACTGTGTTTTTTGTGAGTGAATCGCGGCAGGCATTAATGCCAGCAGCCCCACTAACTCACTCACATTATGTGATCGATTTTTCTCTGAGGGACTGTTGGCCAGATAGAGATGGTTTGCCAGGACAGACAAATGCTCTTCTTGAAGAGCGACGTGAGATCTTTAATAGCCACCCAAACAGGCAGAAGGGTCCTCAGTTAATTGTCTCATCTAAAGGACATGACAGTTTAAGTGGCTCAAATTGAGAGGAGCGATTGACTGTCAGACAAATAGAAGAAAAGACAGGCAGATACACAGACAGACGCGGAGAGACAAAGAGAGAAGGAGAGTGGCAAAGACACAGATAGACACACAGTGGATACACAGACAGACTAAGCAAGAAACTGATTGGAGACAAACAGACATACAGACTAAGAGACAAGGGGAGCGGCAGAGCCAGAGAGAGAGGATACTTAATAATATTATTAAGCATTTAAAAGATTAAATTAATGATCATTAATTATCATGCATGCGTTCGTGCACAGCAGCCCCAAAAACGCACAGACACAGTAGGAACGATATTTTTTTTTCTGGGGAATTGCTGGCGGGGGAGAGATTGTTGGCCGGGAGAGACAAATTCTCTTTTTGAGCACCGCGGGTTCTGTAAGATCCACCAGAACAGAATTTAAAAGACCATGGTTTGTCGTCACATCTGAAGGACAGAAAAATTTGAAGTGTCTCATTTTGCCTGAAGCGATTGACAGTCAGACACACAAACAAATATGTAGACAGATAAACATACAGACAGGCAGACAGTTAGCCACGCAGACAAACTAAGAAAAAAGGAGAGTGGCAGATGCAGATTGTCATTTAGTAAGACACAAAGACAGACAAAGAGAGAAGGGAATTTGAAACAAGCAGACACCTAGACTAAGATACAAGGGGAGAGGTAGAGCCAGAGAGATGCTAAGAGGACAATAAACTCTGGTTTGTGGGAGATTCATGAGCAAGCAATAGCTTTGTGTGGTGCTCGGGCAGATGGCTGACCAGGCCATGTCATCAAATACTTTCCACCTGGACTGAAACCCAGGAAATCTATCACTCACATGTAACGTTGCTGGTTTGTGGGACGTCGCCCGTGACTAAATTCCTGTAAAAAAAAACAGAGAGTTGTGAGCGATGAATTCTCTGTTGTTTCACTGGAGAGTAAAACAACCCCGTCCTTGTCAAAGGACTAACCGGAGCTGGTGGGGGTCGAGGGTTGGGGTAGGAGTGTGGAGGGGTGGTGGCAGTCAAGTGTCTGACCAGTGGGGAAATCCATCATCATTGTTGCAAGTATCCATACCAGACAGTGAGTTCCAGTCATGCTTCCTACACATGGGAATTCCTGAGATTCCAATGAATGTGGAGTACATCTGCGAAACTAGTCACCAAGAGGATTAGACACAGGCTGGCGAAACTCAGGGTTTGGCTACCTCAAAGTGTGCACTGGCGTAACTGTCGTGGAACTACCAGCTAAAACCACATAGATTGCTGCTGTGAGTTCTGTCTGGCAAAGTTCCTTCTGCTTCTCGAGTTAGGACCACCCTACCCGTTGCCGGTTTGTTTTGCAGGGTAACAGGAGCTGATTAGGAGGATTTATTGCCCCAATGACTGGTCTGCCCTACGAATCTTGCCGATGTGTGTTGGAGTGAGCAGCTTTACAGGCAGTATGAGAGAGCACATATGTGATTAAAGTGGAGAGCTGAAATGGGGTGCGAGCACCAGCAAAAACAATGGGGTTCGAGCAGGAATAGGATTTTAGTATAGAGAGCTCCAATGGGGGTGGTAGTACTTGCACAGGCAGGATGTGTGTGTGCATTAAATAGAGGAGAAATATACTCACCTTTCCCCTCTTGGACTGTTCTGTTTACCTGCAAGTACCAACATGTAATAAATATGAAATATTCATCATTACTGGATATACATTTCGTGGTTTTATTAATAATAATGCTCCCCTTTCATCCAGCGTCCAAAGACATTCACAGGGCCGCTTACCAAGAGCAGTCGCCACCTCCAACCCTCCACGGATTACCGACAACGGTGGACGTGCCTTCAGCCACACAGCCCCGCACTTTGGAATTACATTCCAGATTTCATCGGGTTTACCCTTCGCTCCCACCCTCAAATCCCAAGATCCATCATTTCAACAGCGTCGAACAATATTATTATTATTATTATTCAGTGTAATGACACTGTAAATCATTACGATAGCTTATTGTATTATATTCTCTGTTATATTTTGCTTTGAAACGTAATCTGCTGACTCTAGCGGAATTCATTTTGCTTTTTGGTACACAATGTGACAGAACAGGGTCTGTTCAGACAGTCTTCTCCTGCATTGGTTTTGATCAAGATTAAATAACAATAATAATCCTTCTACTTGATGCAGTGCCTGAATACCATGTCGATGTGTCTCTACGAGCTTCAGATGACTTACTGAAGCTGAAGTGATTGTGCATTTTTTAAAATTGAAATGCGGCAGCCAATTGCACACAGCAGTGTACCACAAATAGCCATGGAGAGAGTGAACAATTTATTGTGGGGATTGTTGGCCAGGATACTGAGGGGAACCCCTTGCTGTTTTCCAATGGTGCTGCAGGATGTGTAACATCCTCATGATCTGTCAGACAGGACATCGGTTTAACGGTCTAACCGTTGGTACAGACGGATGAACTTAACATTAGAACAATATTTTCAAACTGCAGTAGCTTCTACACTGGTTATTGATTACAGTGATCTCAAACCAAGAAGATTCTTGGCTACAGCCTATGATGCACGATATTGTCACATACTCTAAGTTAATTGGGGAACTGCCCATTGCCGATTGTGCTATCATCAACAGTGTTATGTGTTTCTAACTCAGAACCGTCATGTTGTCTAATCTCTCCCAAGAATAAATGAGTTGACAAAAAGCGAAAAGTGATTTGGTATCTCTGTTCTCGGCTCCACATCTGCACTGATTGACATAGCAGAACACCAAAACAAAGTGCACAGATCCATTGCTGTCTCTGCCTTCATTCTCAGTAATTGCAAACTATATTCATTGGCATTAATGGACACTTACCTCTCTTATACACACATAATCCCAGTATAAACGCAGTGACCATTAACGCAGTGACAATCCCCAAAGCCAGTCCTACAGTTTGCAGTCCGGTCCAGTTAGCTGGAGAGGGAAATGGACAAACAGTTAATAATCGACTTTGAAGATTTTATATGGGGGAAAACACTACTCATTGAAAGACATCTCTTAGGTTACATCTCATACTGATGTGAAAGTGCTACAGAAAGCAATGTTTTCTTTGTTCTAATTAATTTAGCCGATGTTCCCCTTGTCTGGCCTCATGGGACAAGCCTCTCGCCTCTGACAGTGAGGAGGATGTGCTAAGCAGGGACTCTTTGCGGTGTACGCTGGTGACCTTCCAAACTGCGGAAAAACGGAATAGATTCCAACTTCTAATTTGGTGTCCAGTCCGGTCCCTTAGGCAGGCTCGTCTGCAATATACCAGGATACTGCTGATGACAGCACAGTCCAGCCTGTCTCATCGGCCAGAGCTTGAGGAGAAGATTGCTGACTAAGAGTAGGGAATGTTCCACCTCGGCTTTAGTACCACAAGTCAGTGTGAGCGGTTTGGTTGTTCCTCACTGGATATGAAGAGTTTGGGTTCCAGATGGTGCAGTTGCTCAATTAACAGCTCTTCTATTACAGGAAGATATGGGTCTCCAACTCTTTTCTCACAGAAAAAACACACAATAGTATGATAAATATTAGCTTCATGAATGGCTTCTCTCCCTCCACGGAAAGGAGAGAGGCTTTACATCTCGAATCTTCGCTCGGGACTTTGGATTTCGAAAGAGNTTTTTTCCACGGGGATGGGATTTCCGCCCGGGACAAACACTGCATCCAATACCAGGAGATAAAGTGGAAACATGATCGATGGTGTAAAATATAATTATAACAGGAGCTGCTCTATATCGTCAAAAGAAAAACAGGTGACGTTGTGAGATTTTACTCAGCTCTTACCCCACACAGAGATTCCCATTCGCTTGCTCTCTGGAGATGTGATCTCTCGTCCTTCAATGTATGCAGTATATTTACAAGTGTAGTTTCCTGCAATCAACTCCGTTGGAGGGAACGTGGCCGCATTGTTATTTTCTGGAGCTCGTTTTGATGTGATAAACTCGCCATCTCTGTATAAAGCAAAATTGCTGCCAACATAATTCCCAGTACATGAGATTTGAGCTCTTTCCCCTCTCACAAACATATGGGAATTTGGTATCAGGGAAATGGTGGGTTTCTGAAGCGCATCTGTAATTAAAACACAGCAACGATAATTTCACAAATAGTCGCTATGTGTCACAGACACTGTTGAGGTCATAGTAAAATTGAACATTTGCGTGCTTTCCGGCATGAAAGAGGCATCGTGAGGGAGAGGGTGTTTGAAGGTTTGAGGGGCATATTCAGGACAGTCCCCATAATCTCGTAAACACTTGCTCTGTGACATGGAATGGATCAGGTCAGAGTAAAGGTAACCATTTGCCCGTTTCGTGGCAAGAAGGAGGCGTCAGGATGAGCGGGAATGGTTGCAGATTTGAGGGGCAGGTTAGGGACAGAACGTTGCACTTTACGCAAAAGGATGTGCAGCAACGGCTGGGAGCGGGATGGCCAGGAAGGGCAGTGTGGCCGGGGACTGGGGTAATACACAGCGCCAACTTGGGACGGAAAATCCGTCTAAATTTTTCGTGTGATATTCAGACGTATCTTTAAACATCAACATGGAAGTGAGTCCTTCACATGAAAGCGACTAGCAGCGACTAACAGCAGGTGAACTGGATCGAAGGAGATGCGTTTGACAACAGAGTATCAGAATTCAGTCCACCGCGATTAGTCACTGGCTCACGGCAGGACCGGAAAGGTCAGGCTAGTCTCTGGGGGCAAAGGACCATCCCACTATGCTTCTGCAAAGTAAAGCTCTATCAGGTAGTGTGCTCCCAGCTGGGCAAACAGTGGGAAATCTTGCCAAACTGCCACATTAACGGTAAGCTGTGTTCACAGTCAGCAGCGGCGTGTTGGTGGGGTGGGGGTGTGCGGGTGCGGGGGTTTGGGTGGAGGAATTTGAGGGACGAAGCAGAGAATATGGGGGAGCGGAAGCGTGGAGGATTAGAAATATTATCCTAGTTGAGTGGAGTGAGAGACAGAGAGTGCAGATATAGATGTGAAGAGAGGGGTGGGAGAGACGGGGAAAAGAAGTGGAAGCGAGTGAGGGCGACAGCGAGCGATAGCAGGGGAGAGAGGGACAAGTGAAGAGGAAGAGAGGGGTAAGAGTGGACGGAGATGGGGAAAAGGGGGAAATGGGGAAGAGATGGGAGAGTGGGGCGAGGAATGGAGAGAGACCGGGGAGAGAGGGAGGAAAGAGGGGAGAAAGGGTCGTGGGATGCGTGAATGTGGCAGAGCTGGGCAGAGGGGCTAAATGGGGGTGTACAAGTGAGACGGCGAGTAGGGTGTGTGCTGGTTAAAGTGTGAAGGATTGGGGGCAGCAGAGCATGTGGGGAGGTGTGGGAAAGGGAGACATAGGGGACACCAGAAGATCACATGGAAATATGGTCGATGTTGCAAAGAGTGGTTATAACAGGAGCTCCCGAAAATGGTCAAAACACAAAGAAGTTATTGTGTCAGATTTTACTCAGCTCTTACCCGACAAAGAAATTCCCACTCGCTCGCTCTCTCGTGATGTGAACTCTCGGCCATCTATTTGTTTAGTATATATACACGTGTAGTTTCCTGCAATTATCTCCAATGCGGTGAAAGTTGACGTCTTGTTATTCTTTGGAGCACGTTGTGATTTGATAAACTCGCCGTCTCTGTATAAAGAGAAATTGCTGGCAGGATAATTCCCAGAACATGAGATCTCAGCACTTTCCCCTCTCACAAACACACGGGAATCAGGCTTCAGGGAAATGATGGTTTTCTGGAGCGGATCTGGAATTAAAACACAGCAAAGATAATTTCACAAACACTCACCAAATGACCCAGGCACTGTTCAGGCCAGAGTAAAAGTGACCAATTGCTTGATTTCCCACACGGAGGAGGCGTTATGAGTGGGTGGGGTGTTTGGACGGGTTGAGGGGCAGGTTCAGGATAGACCACAACAAGTGTTTCCTTGCAAAGAGAGAAGGGGATCAACGGCCAGTAGCTGGGTGGCTAAGGAAGGCAGTGAGGCTGGGAACTGCGGCAAAACACAATTCTAGCCAGTGACGATAGGCCGAGAATTCATTCTCAAACTCTCTGGTGAACCTGAGATGTGTTTTTGAACAACAGAATAAGATCAAAACCAGGGGATCAAACATAAAGTTTAGGGGAACGACGTAACACACAGGGAAATATGATACGAGGACTCGCTGCTGATGGTGGGCGGGCGGAATGAGTGTGATCGAGGTGAGTATACATGGGGGGCAGTAAGGCGGCCATTTTACAGATTGGTGAGAGAGTCCAGGCTCTCGCTCTTACCCCACACAGAGATTCCCACTCGCTCGCTCTCTGGTGATTTGAACTGTGCGCCGTCTATGCACGTAGTATATTTACACGAGTAATTTCCTGCCCTGATATCCGATAGAGTGAATGTGGCTGTGTTGCTACTCTCTGTAGCTGGTTGAGATGTGATAAATTCGCCATCTCTGTGTAAAGCGAAATTGCTGCCAGGATAAATCCCAGAACATGAGATGTTAGCGCTTTCCCCTTTCGCAAACAACCGGTATCCTGACCTCAGTAAAATGGTGGGTTTCTGGAGTGGATCTGGAAATAAAACACGGGAAAAATCATCTCACAAGCTCTCGCTTTCACACAAAACATCACGCTCCACAATGAACCCAACCTCAGCCTTTGAGACTGTTTCTGTCTGAGGCGAAATACAAAGCAGAAAGATTGACTGATTCTAATCAGGGTCGTGATTGCAATCTGGGTTTCTGCTGTAATTAAACAATATTTTCTGACCATGGTCTCAGTTTTTCTGTGAACTAGACTCAATGTGAGCTGAAGTCAATTTAAACGTGGGGTCAGTGTGAGCTCGCGGTCAGTCTGGGCTCGGGGACAGTATGAGCTCGGTGTCACTGAGAGCTCATTCAGTGTGAGGTCGGAGTAAATGTTAGCTCTGGGTCAAAGTTAGTAAGGGGTCAGTGTGAGCTCGGTAAGTGTCAATTCCATGTCATCTTGAGTTAGGTTCAGTGTGACCTCGACGTCAGTGTGATCTCGTGGTTAGTGTGAGCTGGGTGTCAGTGTGAGATGGGGGTCAGTGTGATTTGGGGATCAGTGTCACTTTGGTATCAATATGAGCCCCGCTGTTTTCAGTCACCACCTCTTTGCCCACCTGGTGCCCATCCTTCTCTCCGTACTCAATATGAGTTCTTTTCTGCCTTTTCAGGTGGACGTTACAGATCTTGGTGTAATATTCAAAACCAGAAGCAAATTTCTCGAGTGTGTCTTCTTTTGCTCTGCTCAAATTATTATTGTTCTTATTATTATGGTTTCAAAGATTCCTTCCTGCCATGGAAACATCTGGTGTCGGGGAAATTCACATCCAGCACCTTGGGAATCCTACCGTCATGAGCGACACTGGTTATTTGTGTGTTTTGGTGTAAGGATCTGAGTCCCGTCATTGTTTGTATGTCAATAGTCACAAGTCAAGAGAACCAGAGTCTTTACATCGCCCTTGATCATCCCTGTGCTCAGCCCTTCCCCTTGTGCTCAGCCCATCCCACTGTGCGCAGCCCCCCCCCCCTCCCGTGCTCATCCACGCAACCTTTTATTCAGCCCCTACCCCTGTTCTCAGGCCCTCCCCATGAATTCAGCCCTTCCACATAAATCAGCTCCTCCTCCGTTGATCAGCCCCTCCCCATGTACTCAGCCCCTCCTCCTGTGATCAGCCCCTCCCCCCGTGATCAGCACCTCCTCCGGTGATCAGCCGCTCCCCGTGTGCTCAGCCCCTTCTGCTTTGACGAGCCACTCCCACATGGCTCAGCCCCTCTCACCGTTTTCAGCCTCTCCACCTGTACTCAACCATCACCGTGTGCTCAACACATCGCCCCGTACTCCGCAACTTTGCTCAACCCTCTGTGCTCAGCACACCAATCCTGCATTGAGCCCCGCTGTTTTCAGTCACCACCTCTTTGCCCACCTGGTGCCCATCCTTCTCTCCGTACTCAACACCCTGTGCTCAAAAGCTTGTGATAAATCGCCCCTCCTTGTAATCATCCCGCGCTGTGTACCCGCACACACTGGGCACAATCCCAACTGATCCGCGGCCCCAAGATGCTACCATGGGCTCACTCCCACCTTACTAATTCTCCCTCCTCCCCTCCGTGCTACGCCCCCCTTTGATCTTTTCGCCGTCTCCCGCCCCTGCTTTCTGCTTGCTCATCCCATGATCACACTCCACCCTATGCTCACTTCTTTACGCTCATCGCCTCCGTACTCAATCCCCCTGTGCTCGCCACATCCCTGTGCTCAACCGCACTGTGTTCACTTCCTGTGCTAACCCCAACCCGTGCTCCCGCACTGTGCTCACAACATTTCCACCGTATCCCCTTCTGTGCTCAAAAACACCAACCACCCGCACCCCCGAACTTGATCCCCCAGAGTGCTCACGCCTGTGTGCTCAGCTCCCTTTGCTCACTCCCTATGCTCTCCCACTCCCTGTCCTGACACCCCGCCTAATCTCCCACCAGTATGCGCATCCCCACTGTATTAATACTCCCCCTGTGCTCTCTCCCTTAGGCTCACCGTACATCTGAGCTCACCAGTTTTGCTCGAAACCTGTGGTACCCCACCTGAATTCCCTTTCGTGTGCTCACCTGCATGTGCTCACCCACTTCTGCTCACTCTCTTGCGCTCACCCTACACCTGTGCTCATCCCGTTTGCTAGTTCCTCCTGAATTACATACCCTCTGCTCAACAAGTTGTGCTCAACCACTTGTGCTCACTTCCGTAGGCTGACCCGATATCTCTGCTCTCCATCCTGTGCTCATTCCCCTTTTCTTACCGTACCCAGGGCTCACCATTCCGCTGTGCTCACCTCTCGTGTTCTCATTCCTCTTTCATGAGCTCCCTACTTGTGCTTTCACGCCCAACGTGCTCACCCCCCTGATGTCAGTCCCCGCTTCTCACAATCTTCACACTGTGATCACTCCCACCAGGGGCTCAACTTCTCTATGTTGCCAGGCCAATGCGCGCCCACCCCATTTTCCTCCCACTATCATTGTCTGCGCTCACCCATTTGTGCTCGTACCCTCCCTATGCTAACTGTGCTACTCTGTGATCACCCCGTTTGTACTCAATCTGCACCTGTGCACAGCTCCACCTTTGATCACCCCACTGTGCTCACGCTACCTGAGCTGCCGCTTTGTGCCTCCCTGGGCTCACCGATAACCCTGAGGAGTGGGGGTAAGCGGAGGGGTTAAGATCACTGCTTGATGTTATGCTATGTAAACCCCACTGTACTCACCGCCCTGTGCGCAGCCGCTGTGCTTCAAGTCTATGATGACCGCCCCATGCTCGATTCCCTGTGCTCACACACCATTGTGCTCACGTTTGCCCTGCTCCCCCACTTGTGCTCAACCCGCTGTGTCCCTTCCTGTAATAAATCTTCACCCTTTGCTAACTCAGTGCTCACTCCGCAGTACCGCATCACCCCTGTGATCAACTCCCAAGCTCAGTACCTTTTACTCACGCACCCGTGAGCTCATGCCTGCCCATGTATGCTCACCTCCCTATGCTCCCTTGGGCTAACCACCTGTGCTTGCCCTTCCCTGTCCTCACATCCCTATTATAACAGACCCAATGCTCAAACGCACGTTCTCACTCCTTCTCTGCTTCCATATCTGTGCTTCCTTGGACTGAGTGCTCACCCTCCCTATGCTCACCCACCGTGGGATCACCGGTCTGTGCTTAAAATGCCTTGTGCTCACCCCTCTGAGCTTACTCTGGACGGTGCTCTCATCCCTTCCACCTATGTTCCAATCCGACCTGTGCTCACGCATTCCTTGCTGCTTCCTACCTGTGCTCAACCACCTGTGCTCATAATTGTTTTCCCAACCGCTGTGCTCCACCCTTTGCTCAGACCCCATCTACTCCATCATGCTTACGCCTCACCCCATCAACCACGGGTGCCCACCCACCCTGTGCTCACCTCACCTTTGCTGAATCGCCTATAATCACATTCTCTATGCTCACTTCGCGCGTTGCTACACTCCTGGTGCTCACCACCATCATCCCCGCCCTCAACACCTACTTCCATCCCGTATTTACCATCACCCCGTGCACTCAGGGACGAATGTTTACACCCAACTGTGCTCCATCCCACTGTAATGAGCCCCACCCTCCAAGCTCAACGCCCCATCTTGATAACCTGTGCACAAACGCCTTCCATTTGCTCGCCATTCCTTTCGTGTTCTAGCACTACTCAAGCAACCGCCCCCTCCCATGTTCACCCCCCCACCCTCATCCAGTACTATCCCCTGTGCTTATCCAGTCTGCTCAAATCCTGTGCTCAAATTCCTTGTTTCCCCAATTTGCTTAGGCGAACTGTGCTTAATCTCCTGTACTCCTAACCCACGCTCATTCCCCCTTACGTTCTACTCTCTTTTGCTCACCCCCCACCCTCCTGTTCAACCGCCTGTGCCATCCTCCCTCTGTACGTAGCACCTTGTGCTCACCCCTTCTATGCTCCCAAACTCTGCGCTCAGTACCGTGCGCTTCCTGCCAACTTCTGAGCTCACCAACGCTCTTCTTTACCTCCACTGTGCTAACTGCCTTATTCGCAATCCAACTTGTGCTCAAACCACCGTGGTCACCACACTTTCCACCCGCACATCTCCCCCACCCGTTCGAGATCGAGGTGATTATCAGACACTGAGTTATTTACCTGAGCAGATGACGCTGACCTCATACGAAAGTGACCCATAATAGTGAGCCCAGGTCCTTGAGTGACAATCCCTCAGGGCAGACTCGTTCCCTCTGCACCGAACACCATACGTTACAATGGGACCTGAGCCCCTTCCAAAGTGAGTTCCTCCTGAGCCTTCGCCAAAGTGAGCATCTCTTGATGCTGACAGCGCGGCTCCACATCCCAACTCCTTGCACACCACTGCCGCGGCCTCCATATCCCAGGTCGGACCATAACGATAGTCACCCACTGTACCCCATTTTCCACGGTGGTAAACCTCCACTCTCCCGGAACACGGCCTGCCGCCATTCACCAGCCTCACACTCTCTGTAAGACATCACACACCGAATTAAGAGTCTGTTTCCTGTTTGACTCCCAGTCACCCAGGATAATACAATACAATGTGCATATGCAGCGCTCCTGTGACATTGGAAGTGATGTCTCTGGCGCAAACAATACAACTATAAGAATCAATGTGTTGGTTGAGGTGACTGATGAGTTCATACAATCCACTACCCGGGTGTCACAATAACAGAAGCAGTTTATAACACCAATAACTTTACACGTTGCAGCTACTATTGCAAACAACGGCTAGTGTTATTATATTTAATATTAGATTAGTATAATTTATAATAGATTATTGTATTTTATATTTGAATTACTGGGCAGGGAAAGTATTAAGTAATTTTCCTCACTCTCATGCCTCTGTTAACTTAGCATTCATTAGCAACCCAATAGACAATAGTCGGATTTCTTTTCTGGGGATAATAATACAATAAATAAAATACAATAATTCCCTCAATCAACGCATGACTCTTTGTGGCACATCACTGTGTGTGATTCTCTGCCGCGTTTCGTCCACAGAACAGACAGCCGACTCTCAATGTAGTCAATAATAACAATTATTAACAATTAATAACAATTGAGCATCAAACACAACACGACCCAGGGACACCCCCCAACCTCCGTATAACGCCCACACCTGCCACGCACCACCACCACCCAGGCACCACCACCCTAACGCTGATATTGCCCCCACTGGACACAGCACAGCCAGGGCACTGCCGTTTTCCCAGCGTACAGAATCTTCCCAGGCACAACCCAACCCAGGGCGATGCACTCACACAACGGGAAACAGCTCCTCCCCCATCACCGAAGACAGCCACACTGCAATGCCCCAAACACAGACCCTCCGCAAGGCACAACCACATCTCCCAGGTCACAATCCTCACGGCACAGGCAATCTAGGTACAACCTAGCAACCCCCCCCCACCCAGGTCAGAGTCACCATTTCCCCCAGGCAACACACAGCCAGGGCACACCTGGCCCGGAAGCACTGTCCCACCAAAGCCGATTACACCCAGGCACAAAACCCACACGGAACCACAGCCCCAGCCAAACCTCCCAAAGCACAGCCGGCTCCCCCAGCGCAAGCAATAACCCAAATGCACTCACCGCACTATGATCAGCCGCTCCGCCCCAGGGCAAGCTCCTTCCCCAGGATGACAGCCCCAGCTCCAGACACATCCCCTCCCAAGTGCCTAGCCAACTCAGAAGGCACAGCTACTTCTCAGTGCACACTCCACCCCCAAATAGAAGCACCCCTGTGCCCAGCGCCCACTTCAAGGTCACAATCGCTCCCCACCAGGGCGCAGCCGCCAAGGCACAGATTCCCCTGCACACGGCACCCCTGGACACATACAAAGCCCCAGATCACAGCCTCAAGCTCAGTTTACAGCGCGCACCCCCGAACCCCTCCCCCTACATAAAACCTCGCCCAGGGCCCAGCAGCCCCCTCCACCCAACGAAACAATCCACCCCACGAAGGCACAGCTCCACAGGGCCCAGCACCACCTCCAGAGTACACACACCCAAGCAAAGCACACACCCCAGTCATATTTCCCCCCGCACCCAACCCCTACCCAGGCACCGCCACAACTCGCGTGTACAGCAACGCGTGCCACAGCCTACCTGAGGCACAGCTCCCCATTTGTGCTCACATGCTCCTGTACTCTTTCCACTCTCACAGCACCACTTTTCTCGCAGCACTGCTCTGTTCACACTGTACACTCTCCTCCCACACCTGCATGTCCCCTTTGCTCAATCCACTTTGCCCTTCCTAGCTTTGCTGACATCAACTCTCTCTGTCTCACCGTGGTCACCTACACTGTGGTCAACTACCTTGTGCTCTAACCCTTATACTCATCGCCCCTATTCTCATCCCCACTGTGATCAGCACTTGTGCTCAACACAACCGGTACTCAAACCCCTATGCTCACAACCATCTTCCCGCCCCGCGCGCGTCCGATCCTCCCCCTCAACGCGATGTCCCCCACTGTGCTCGCACACTCACCTGGTGCTTATTCGCTTGTGCTCACACTCTCCTGTGCTCCCATCGTAGACTCACCCACCATTTGTACTCACCGCACCCCTGTGATCTCCGTTCGTGTGCTCTCCGCTCTTCATGTATACAGTCGCATCTTCTCACCCCACCTCTGATCACCACTGAACTCCCCCTGTGGTCCACCTGTGCTCACCTCCATCTTGTTCACTTCTCCCTTGTGCTTACCCCATTGCCAAGTACTCCCCACTGTGCTCTTCCCCTGTTTACCTAACCCCCACTGCCCCTTCCCGTGTTTTCCCCATTGTACTCGCCGTTGCGCTCAAAATCTCTTTGCTCTTGCTACAGTGCTTAATCCGATTTTGCTCTTCCATATGTCCGGACCGCTCACCTAGTGTTCTCACGGGTGTTCACCCCATGTATTTCTCCACTTGTGCTCCCACCATTTACTCCTCCCTGTGCTCACCCCACCCTGTGCTTAATCCACGATGCTCAGAGCCCTTTCTTCTGCCCCTGTGTTCATCCCCGTTCACTCAGACCCACAACAACAACGACGACGACATAAAAATTTGGATTTATGTAGCGCTCTCCACGCCGGACGACATCTCAGATCGCAAATAATAATAATGTGGTCATTCAATTTATTTCTGTTTGCGGGACACCATTGTTCGCGATTGGCTGCCGCATTTAAGGATTTATCAGCCACTTCCCATTGCGGAAGATTCTGTGAAGCGTTTCAAGAGTTTCGAAGATAAGATCAGGCGCTATGTCAAATGCTAGGATTATTATTATAGTTTATATTAGATTACTATATTTTATTTTCCATCAATATACATTCATAATTATTTTTATTATTAAACTTCATATCAGATTATTATACTTTAAATAAAGATAGAAAATTCACCCCCAAAAAAATGGTCATTAATATCTATTTTGTTGCATAATACACCAGCAAATATATTTCCTTCCAGAATGGTGTGTGATTTTCTCTGTCGCTTCTGCGTTGCAGAATACTTCATTTATGGGCTAAATTGTATACTTTTTTAAAGTATCATCATCGATAGAAGATAGAAGATGTATGAAACTACGCCCATGACAGCAGCGAATGCAAAAGATTCCGCTTAGGCATAAATCTTGATTCTACGTCTTGCGGTTGTTGTGTTAGTTTCAGATTCGCAGATACAGACTCAGTTATGGTCGTTGTATGAATGTGTTACTAATTCCGTTTGGCGTCAGCCCAAGTTGCAAAGTTACAGCCTCAGAGATTTAGACAAAAAACAAGGCAACATGATATTGGCTGCAGTCTCAGAGCTCAGCTATCACAGCAGGGCGGTTGGGTTGAGTGGTTGGCATAACATTGCAGCATCAAATAAACGACCCCAGGCACACACGTCCACCCCACTCCGATATTAGAGTTACACTGGCACCCCGCCATTACGGAGCACAATTCTTCCCCCTCCGGAACAACAACATCCCCCAGTGCACAGCCCCTCTCCAAATGCACAGCCCTGCATTCACCACACATACCCCCAGGCACAACTGCCTAAAAGGCACAGAACATATCACAGCGAAAACCCTCTTGTCTAACTTCATCACAGGGCACAACCCTTCGATCAGTCAAAGCTCACTCCTTGCACGGCACCACCCCCACCAAAACACCCCACCCCATCATGGATCAGCCTCTCCCCCAGGGCACGACCAATTCTCCCAGTGCACTGAACGGCATAAAAGCAGCATGCGCCACACCCCCCAATTCCCCCACCACCGTTCACATACCTCCAGGAAAGCTGCCATCATCCATGAAAAGCCCAAATATAGAGACTCACCAGTAGGCGACAGCCAATCCACCTAGGGAATAATCACGCCCCCAACCCCTAACACAGGACAAAGCACCCGAGGACAAAGATGCGCCCAGGCACAGACCCACAGGTTACAGATACCACAGGCACATACCAACACCCTACTCTGGCCTGACCTGCTCAGCACCACACAATGGCGCAGCACACCCCAGGTAACATCTCCGAGAACAGATACTCCCAAATCTGGCACAGTTATTCCGAAGTGCACAGCCCCCTCCCACCATAGTAAACAGACCCTGCCCTCAGGGAACAGCCAATCTTCCCACCGTGGAACAGTTACCTCCAGGGTACAGTGACCCTAGAGGGCACAGCCCGACCCCAGGCCACAGTCCCCCTGGCACATGCCCTTACCACAAGGGACTGCCCACCAAAGGCAGAGTCTACGATATGCCCAGACCTCCCTCAGTGCACCGTCCCCCAACACGCAGAGGGCCCAGAACCCCAGGCACACCTCAATCTCGACAACGCCCCACCACCAATGGTACAGAACCTAACCCCTATCCAGCCACAGCTCTCCCCTGCACCCCAACCACTCAGGGCACAGCTCCAAATATCAACAAAGATACGGGTAAAATTTGCAAACCACGCAACTCTCCCCCTCATTTTCGCCTTTGTGAAACCTTATCAAAGCCATTATGTAAACCGAGACACACAGGAGCCAAAACAACAACATCAGCAGAGCGCCCCTCAAACTGTGTTGTGTCTCAGATAGCTTGAAACTGGCGGAAAACGAAACAGAGGTCATGTTAGGCACGGTTGAGAACGAAGTTGTTCAGATGCCACCTGAAGATGCAGAAGGGAGGGGCAGGGCGGAGTGATAGAGGAAGTGTGTATCAGAGTTTTGGTTCGGAATAGCTAAAAGCGCGAACTCCAGTTGTGTAATGGAGGGTTGTAGACAGCCTATTAACTTGAACTGTGAATTGTATGATGGTTCCTACTCCTGTTCCCCACACGGAGCTGGCGAGAGGCTGAGTCTAACTCTCAGCAGCTAATGTTCCCACAGCAGCTTCTGGTTGTCAGATTGCGTCACTTACCTGCAGATTCCAGCGTCTTTCTCTCCACAAACAACACTGCGTAAGGAAAAGAAAATCAAGAGCAAAGCAGGAATTATTAATACAGTAATTCACAAAATGAGACAGCTGATCTGCCTGGTCTCTCACACCATCAATGGTCGGTCCTAAACTACAGGGCTATCATTTATGTTTCTCTACATAAAGGTCCCAAGTGGGGAATTAGCACAAGCACAGATACGACGGGGAGAGAGATAACACGGATTGTGGTTGGTATAGAGAGCTCCAGTGCGGAGCGAGCAACAGCAATTTTTCACACAAAGCTTAGTAGAAATCTAGAATTTTCTTCCCAAAACTCCGTTGATTCTATATACATCCATACGTTCAAGTGTGAGGTTGATCGATTTTTGACAGATCATCGTATTAAGGGATGTGGGGAAAAAAGCAGATAATTGGGAGTGAAAGGATTAATTAAGGTAGAGATAACGCATGATCGAATTAAATGGCGGAACTGGCTCGAAATGCTGAATGGCCTTCCCGTGTTCCTATGCTCATTAACCCGACAGGGAGAGAGCGGAGAATGGGGTCAGAGCAGACAGCTCTAGATTCGGGGAAGTGTGGGAAAGCAGTAATGGAAATAAACACAAAACTCTTTCACACACCAACATTAACACCAATTTGCGAAGGATAATGTTCTGTGCGAAGATTGTTTATGTGTGTCTTTCTGATTTGCTTCTCGAAGAACATGGGGTTTGTACGGCTCAGAAACGGAAACTCGTCTCCTTGTTTCCCACCTATCTCCTCTCCTTTCCCTAATGTCTTGTCTCTTCTCTGCTGTCTCCTCTCTATTCTCTACTCACTACTCTCTTCTCTCCTTTGTGCAGTCCTGTAGCTCACTGGTTAGAGCACTCGCTTTGCAAGCGAGAGACCTGAGTTCAATTCCAGGCAGAGGGCGAAACCTTGGGCAAATTTTCTTACTCCACACGCCTAGTAATAACCCCTCCAAAACCAAAAACAATAATAAATTGGTCATTTCCAATCTACGACTGTTTTTGGGACATTGCTGTGCGCAATTGGCTGCCGCATTCACCCACAAATATATACAGTTAATTCACGTTACAGTGTGTTCTGTGAAGCGCTTTGGGACGTCCTCCTGACGTGAAAAGCGCTATATCAAATGCAAGGATTATTATTATTATTATTACTCCTTCCTCTCCCCTCTCCCACTCTCTCCTCTTTTCCACTCCATCCTCTCCTCTTTCTTCCCCTTCTATCCTATCCCACTCACCTCTCCCCTCTCTCCTCTCAGGGAACCTCTCCTTTCCTTCCTTCTCTCCTCCCCTCTTCTCTTTCCTTTCCTCCATTCTCTACAATCCCGTCTCTCCACAAGTCTCTCCTCTATCATCTGTACTCTCTACTCTCCACACACATCTTTCCGGCCTCCTCTCCATTCTCTCCTCTCCATCCTATCCTCTATCCTCTCCCATCTCTTCTCTCGCATGTGCCGTCTCTGCTTTCTTCCCCTTTTCTGCTCTTCACTTTCCTCTTGCTTCTCCTCTCCTTCCTCTCATTTCTCTCCTCTTTTGCCTCCTCTCTCTCCTCTCTCCTCCCTCTCTTACCCTCTGACCTCTACTCTACTCTCTTGTCTCTCATCTGGCATGTCTCCGTGCCTCTCTCCACCATCATCTGCACTCTCTACTCTCTACAAATCTCTCTTCTCTCCTCTCTCTCCTCCAGTCTATCCACTCATCTGCCCTCTCTCCTCCCCTATCTACTCTCTACTCTCCCTTATCTCCTTGCTTCGCTCTCTCGCCGGAACAACAACAAATTACATCGACTTCAGCAGATCCTGGTCCTGAAGAGGACACGGTTAGCAAAATTCTGGATAATCTGCAGCCTGTGAAGTTAGGGTTTGTGGAGGCCGACAAACAGAGTGTTTGCGTAGTTGAGCCTGGTTGTGGTGATTGCGGGAATGACGCTCTCTGCGGCTTGCGGTGCAAGACGATCACGGAGACCAGCAATATCGCATAGCCGGAGAAAGGCGGAACGGGTCTTGGTACAGATGGGCGGGACGAAGGACAGTTGAGGGTCGAGGTACATCTTTGTGATTGGCTTAGAAAGTATACTCACCAAGGAGGAAAGCCAAAAGTTGCTTCATTTGGAGGACGAGGAGGAGATGTTTAGGTTCAGAAGACTGGAGAGCTGTGTCGGTGGAGGTTGGGCGAGGAGGAAGATCTGCAGACTTGGAGATAAACCACACAGAAGACATCACATGAGCAATTTTGCCATCATCACTGAGCTCCATGATCCACTGGCACCATTTATCTGAGACACACATATTCTGAGACTCATTCTCTCCACATTGACCACAAGAAAGCTGCACAGCTCACAATGTTTTTACTGGAACGACAAGGCCTTGTCACCCACAACTCCGCCCATTGTGAAACTGCCGTTGGTGGTTGTTGTTTACTCTGTGAGCACTGAATTAGGGACCTGAGCTGGACAAACAGTGGCAGCTCACCAGTGTCCACGGGGGACTAACTGCGTGGTTTTAGTGCGATTAACGCCAGGAGTTACCTCCAATTCTAGTATGGATATCAAGGCCTTGGATAGGGTGTAAAGGAGATTTTAGAAGATGGTACCATAGATGAGGGATTACAGTTATGTAGAGACGTTAGGGAAGCTGCAATTTCTCCTAATAGCAGAGAAAGCTAAGGTGGTGTTATTGGACTCAGTGATCATAATTATGAAGGATTTCGGTAGAGTGGATAGGCAGAAAATATTTCCACTGGCAGGTGGATTGGTAACCAAAGGACACAAATGTAAGATAATTGGCAGACTAACCAGAAGGGAAACCACACAAGAAGAATTAAGCTCTCATTGACAGCTGGCAGTCTGAAACTCACTGACTGAAATGGTGATGGAAAAAGGTTGAATGACAATATTCAAAAGAAAATTTGTTAGTGACTTGAAAAAAGAATTGATTGGTGATTTGGGGAGAGAGGGGATGGATTGATGTAATTGAAGAGGAAATATTTGCTATATTATGGGTAAAGATTGTGGGAGTCAGACTGATTTGGTAGTTCTTCCATTGAGCTGTAACAGGCTCGAAAGAACATATGGCCTCTTTCTGTGATGGAATATTCCAGGATTCCAGGATTCTATAACTCACACATCCAATGTTGTTCTCACCGAACTGCGGCAACCTGTCCCATCACACAGGCCAATAATAATAATAATAATAATAATCCTTGCATTTGACATAGCGCTTTTCACGTCGGAAGGACGTCACAAAGCACTTCACAAAACACACTGTGAAGTGAATTAACTGCATAATTGTGGGCGAACCCGTCACCCAATTGCGCAAAGCAATGTCCCACAAACAGACGTAGATTTAAAATGACCAACTGTATTATTGTTTTTGGTTTTGGAAAGGATTATTATTAGACGTGTGGAGTAAGGAAACTTGCCCAAGTTTTCGCCCTGCCTGGAGTTGAACTCCGGTCTCTCACTTGCAAAGCAAGTGCTCTAACCACCGAGCTACAGGACTCCGCATACAGACCATCCCACGAAAAATGCATTCAATTCCCTTCGGAGTATATCACGTAACTGCTTTGAAATTTCTCGAAGATGTGATAAAGCGCGGAATCAAATGCACGCATTATTATTATACGTGTGACGCCCTCTCGACGTGAAAGGCGCTATACAAATATAATGCTATTGTAATTATCACACGGGGAGTCACACAGGATATCCTGCATTCTGACCTCCTGTTGCCCGGAGATTCACCTGTAGCCGTTCCAATTCCCCAGATAAACCCTCACATCACCCTCACCTAACCCTAACTCTGACCTAAAAACCTTACACTCTTACATTAGCCCAAACACTGAAATTGAAACCTAGCCCTGATCCTAAACCTCATCGTAACCCTGAGGCTCACCAGATTCACCCTCACTTCTACGTTATTTGGTGTAAATTAACTAAATGAGGTGAGTTTTTGAGGCTGAGCTATGAAAATGGACCTCTGTGGTTTCCCCATATATATATTTACACTTCCAACATCACATCACCAGAACATCTCAACAAGCTTCACAGGCTGCCCAACAGCAAAGGAAAAACCCTGCTTTTCTGTCTGTCATTCGGCCTGTTCGGCTCTTTGTCTATTTCTTTCCCGACCAGTCTCTCTCTCTCTCTGCTTGATTCTCTCGGATGAGACGATAAGATGAGGTGCAGTTCGCACCACGTTCAGCACAGATGTTAAAGATCACAAGACGTTATTCAGCAAAGAGAAGGGAGATTCTCCAGATGCTAGAGTCAAGACCAGCTCGATTTAAGCTGTTTCAATGGGTTAATAATTGACTTCGTGTCAAATAGCAAATGCTGATGTGTAGCTGAACCACTGTCATGACGCTTAAAATAATTATCTGCTCATGATATACTGCATCATCACGTCTTCGAGACATGTTGGAGAAATAATAAATATTTCACAAAAGACTTAAATTGAGATTCAATATATATGGAAGACAGTGAAAGTAACAAACGAAATGCAGAATTTTTATCGGGCGAATGTGCAAACTGGTGAACAACATAGTTCCTTGATCATCACAACCGTTCCCTGACTAGGACCATATTGATTCCACCTCCGCAACATTGCTCGCCTCCATCCATACCTCATAGCCACAGCAGCCGAAACACTCACCCACAGCTTCTTTACTCCCCAGCTGGACCGTTCCAGTGCCCTGCGAGCTGGTCTCCCGAGCTCCACCATACACAAAATTCAACTTGTACAAAACTCCACCACACGGTCACGGTTTTGACCCGTTTTGAAATGGAGAACGTCTACAACTCAGATACAGAGAAGGAGAGATTAGATGAGTGATTGTGAGTAGTACTAGCGTTTAAAACAGTTGACGTAGCAGTTAAATAATTGTGAGTTTATCTTTTTACTCAAGAGAACGCTATGAGCTGATGATAGGTATCCCATTGCTAATCTATACATTTGTTCTCAAGAGGGTTATTTGTACTTTATTGCGAATCACAGGGACTTTTGAGATTCATTGTGAGACCAGCTAAAGGCTATCTCACGATTGTAACCATTGATTGATTAAATATATGTTTGCAAAATCGTGGCAAATAAAGTAACACTGTTACTGTTATGCTTTATCTATCCAGACCTCCGTGTTGATTTGATTAATAGAGAGTTAAGTTGCTGCCATGTATTTGCAGAACATTGCAGTCAGACAGGGAATCCTCCCCCAGCCTGCGATACCTCGGGTGACCACAGGGGGAGCAAACATTTCTACAAATTAATGTAATTCATGTGAAATACGACAGTAAAATATCTCCTTAAGCAAAGGAGAATTAATATGCTAAACTTCACCAGATCTCTCTCTGAGATACGCTCTCCCTCCTCTCTGCCTGTGTCCAGAGGGCAATTGTAGTGTCTCTTCACAAATAAGACCCAGAACTACCCAAGGATTCTACTGATTTCAGTGGCCTTAGGTGCTGCTTCGGGCAGTCACCACTGATATTTTGTCCGTTCTGGAGACTCGTGGCTTGATGAGGAAGGAGCAGGCTGGCTTCTGCTCTGTGAGCAACGTGTGGGACAGGTTGAGACTCTTTAAAACGTCACAGAAAGTTTGAAGATTTAGAGTAAAACCTGCTACATTGTGTTCATCGATTTCCACAAGTCCTTGGATCTGGTGCCTTTTGAACCACTCCTGTTGGAATAGGAAATGATTGGAAAATAATAATAATAATAATAATCCTTGCATTTGATATAGCGCTTTTCACGTCGGGGGTACGTCCCAAAGCGCTTCACAGAACACACTCTAAAGTGAATTGACTGTATATTTGTGGGCGAACGCGGCAGCCAATTGCGCACAGCAGTGTCCCACAAACAATCATAGATTGGAAATGACCAGTTTATTTTATTATTGTTTTTGGCTTTTGGAGGGATTATTATTAGGTGTGTGGAGTAACGAAACTTGCCCAAGGTTTCGCCCTCTGCCTGGAATTGAACGCAGGTCTCTCGCTTGCAAAGTGAGTGCTCTAACCACTGAGCTACAGGACTCCACTGGCTCCAGATATGCTCATATATATGTTATAAATTTGTAATAAAAATTTTATTTTAATTGATTCCAAATTTTCATTCCAAACCAGAGAGCGTGTTCTCGCTTCGGACTCTCAACATTCAAGGAAATGCGAGAGTTCCGGGTTGAATTCCCGGACGAAATTGTCTTGACTTTTAACTCGGCCAACAATCCGCCAGTAACATTCGCTGTATTAGGGAAGTAACTGTGCCAGACAATGTTGCCACCTTAACACATAAAATACACAGTTACTTAACTTTGCAGTATAGTGTGTGACATGGCTTGTCACGTCCTACTGACATGAAATGCTCCGTACTAGGATTGTTACACTGCTTTTTTGGAAAGGAGGGAAGAGAGAATATACGGGAGTTGAATTGGTTCCAATTTGACGATCTGCTCAACAATGCCTTTTCTGCTGCTCCACACAAAGCCTATCTCGCACCATCTGTCAAACTCTATCTCCCACACACTGTCCCTCACACTTTCTCTTAAACACTCTCAGATATTGTACCTCTAAAACGCTTTCTCCTCTCTCTCTCTGTCTCTCTCTCTCTCTCTATCTCTCTCGCGCGCTCTCTCTCTCACTTCCTTTCTCTCTCTCTCTCTCTCACACACACAATCACTCTCACACACAGTGTATCTCTTTCACACAGAGTCGAAATCTCTCTCTCGCTTCCCCCCTTCCCCACCACCCACCACCACCCCAAATCCCTCTCTATATCTCTCTCTCTCATTCTTTGTCTCTGAGCCTCTCGGATGACATGAGAAATTGAACTCCAGTTTGAGCCGTGTCCAGGACAGGTGATAAAGATACTGCGACACCATAGGAGAAAAAGTAACGAGTTTCTCCAGGTGTTCCTCCAGGTTTCACCATTTTCTCCAGGTAGACTCCAGATCACCTCATGTCAAGTTTTATGAAAGGGTTAATTTTGAACATTGTGTCAAATGGAAAAGTCTGATACGTAACCGATCTACTGTCATGTTGTCAGTTTAGCAGCGTTACCGGATATAAAGCACAAACCATACAAACCTGCTTGCAAAATGGGTTCAAACATTCAACTATAGAAGAAAGAAAACTCAACAGAAAAGGAGACTTTTTTTCAGCAGAGGTTTGTCTATATATTTCCGTGGACAGTAAACCCGCTTCGAATCTCCAATCTACTTTTTAATATCAATAGTAATCCTTGCATTTGCTGTAGCGCCTCAAACCGTTTTTGAAATTATTCGGAGAAAAATAATCAATATTTCAGACAAGACGTTTTTTGGAATCAAAGTGCATTTGGATCCGAGAAGGTGAAGATATCATATGAAGCACAAAAATGTGATCAGGTGAGTGAGCACAACTTGTCAACTAGAGCTTTCCTTTACAACCCACATTCATTCCCTGACGAGTACTTTTATTCACATCCGCCACATGTTCGCCGCCATCCATACCTCAAAACTACGGTACCCAAACCTTCATCCACGCCTTCATCACTTTCTGGCTGGACTGTTCCGATGCCTTCATCTGGTCTCCCCAGTTGCACAATACAAAAAAATTCCGTAAACACAAAACTTCGCCGTCCGGTTTTGACCAGTTCTAAATTGGAGAAAGCCTACAACTCAGATTGTGGAGTCCTGTAGCTCAGTGGTTAGAGCACTCGCTTTGCAAGCGAGAGACCTGAGTTCAATTCCAGGCAGAGGGCGAAACCTTGGGCAAGTTTCCTTACTCCACACAGAGCCTAATAATAATCCCTCCAAAGCCCAAAACAATAATAAATTGGTCAATTTCAATCTACGACTGTTTGTGGGACATTGCTATGCGCAATTGGCTGCCGCATTCGCCCACAAACATACAGTCAATTCACTTTACAGTGTGTTCTGTGAAGCGCTTTAGGACGTCCTCCCGACGTGAAAAGCGCTATATCAAATGCGAGGATTATTATTATTATTATCTAGAGAAGGAGAGAGTTAGTGCGTATTTATGAGCAATAGTAGCTTTTCAAATATTTGACAGTTAAATAATTGTGAGAGTTTTTTTCCATTAAATACTTTGAGTTCATCACAGACATTCCGTTGTTGAGCTACACGTTTGTACTCAAGAGGGATATTTGAACTCTTTGGCTATTACTGGGACATTTAGATATTAATTATGACCTCAGTTAAGGCTGTGATATCACAACTGTAACCATTGTTGAGTTAAGTATATACTTACATAATCGTGGTGAATAAGGTAACGTATTTTGCCGTATATGTCCAGACGTTTGTATTGCTTTCAGTAATAAACAGCTAACGTGAGAGATCCCCAGCCCTGCTGTCTTGTCGGCTTTGGGGAACATTACATTCAGATGAGGAAGTAAATCGCCAGCCTGCAATACCTCGGGTGACCGCCCGGTGAACAAAACGTTTTAAATTTATGTAAGACATGTGAAATCTGATTGCAAAATAATTCTCAATATGTCCAGGAGAATGAATATGTTAAACTTCACCAGGCCGCTGACTTAGACATACTCTCCTTCCTCACTCTCAGTGTCCAGAGGGCAATTGTTTTTGTCTCTACACAAGTGAGACCAAGAACTAGACAGAAAACTCACTGATTTCAGTGGCTCTTAAAGTGATGCTTTGGGGAGTCACTGCAGATGGTTTGCCCATATTGGAGACTAATGGCGTGATGAGAAAGGAACTGGCTTGCTTCCATTCTGTGAGCAATGTGTTGGACAGGTTACGGCGTTGTATAAGATCACAGAAATATGTAAGATTCAGAGGAAAACCACCTAAGATACAATCATCAATGTCCTCAAATCATTGGAGCTGGTACCTTTTGATCCCCTCCCGATGAAAATGCAAGTGATGAAAGAATAGGGTTACATTTTGGATTTGATTCAGAATTTTCATTCCAAAACAGAGTGCATGGGTGGTTGGTTGGGGGCTCTGATTTTCAAATCGGGCGCTGAAAATTCAAGGGAAAGCAGGAGATACCCGTTCAATTCACCGACGGGCCTCTCTTGTGTTTTAACCTTGTCAACAACCCTCCAATAAAATTGACTTCACGGCTGCTTGTGGGCCGTTACTGTGGCAAACTGTCCTAGCACCTTCATTCAGAAAATACCGTCACCATATAAACAACTTGCCCTTCTATATCGCACTTGACTCTGGGTAGTGTCTCGGATCGCTTAGAAGCATACACTTTACAGTATATCCTTTGAAATCACTTATGATGTCCTCCAGATGCTAAAGGCTCTTTGCCAAATGCAACAATTATTATCCTCTGGTTGGCGAGAGGCTAACAGGGGACTCATGGAATTTGAACTGTGTTGAAGGTGATGTTCTGCACACAAACTGCCCCACCTGCCACTCTACACAAGACCTGTCTCTGGCTCAAAGTTTGCCCCTCCTGACCCTCCACACAAGGCCTGTCTTCGGCTCTCACATTGCTCCTTCTGCCCTTCCACCCAAGTCAGTCTCCGGCTCACACACTGCCTCTCCTGTGCAACTGCACAAGGCCTTAATTTCACTCTCCGTCTCTCTCTCTCTCTCTCTCTCTCTCTCTCTTTCTCTCTTGCTCACATGCATACACACACTCTCACTCTCTCACTCTCTATCTCTCTTACAAACTCTCTCACTAACAATCTTTCTCTCTCACACTGTTTCTCTCACACTCACAGTCTGTCTCTCTGCCACCTTCTCTCTAATGCTTTCACACAACGAGTCCCTCTCATGCACACACTCTATCTCATACATTCTCAGACCCTCTCACACACAATGTACAGTTCACACTCCCAGACTTTCTCTCGCACACACTCTAAGACTCTCGCTCTCAAATTCTTACACTCATTCTCTCTCACACACAATGTCTCTCACATTCTCAGTCTCTCTCTTTCCATCTGTGTGGCACTCTTAGTCACACACTCACACACACACGATGTCTCTCACTCTCTCGCTATCTCTGAAACACACAATGTGTCTATACACTCAGTCCTCTCTCAAACGCACTATCTCTCACACGTGCACCTCTCACACACACTATTTCAATCATATTCTTTTTCTCTCTCACACAAACTTTCTCTTTTAAATCTCTCTCTCACACACAGACCCACACACTATGTTACTCACACTCTCAGTCTCTCTCTCACACACACAATGTGTCTCTCACACTCTCATTATCTCTCTGACACACACACACGTTGTTTCTCACACACTCTCAGTCTCTATCATACAAATTGTCTTTCATACTGTCAGTATCTCACTCACACACAGACTGCGTCTCTCACACTCGATTTCTCTATCTCCATCTATGTCTTTTACATTCTCAGTCACTCTCTCTCACGCACAGTGTCATAAACAACTATATCTCTTAAATTTATCTCTCTGACCCAAACATTGTGTCTCTCTACGTCTCTCTCTCACACACAGTCTCTCTCACACTCTCTTTTTTCCATCTTTGTTACTCACACTCGCAGTCACACTCTCTCATACACACAATATGTCTCTCTCACTCTCGCTCTCTCTGACACACACGCTGTGAATCTCACACACTCAGTCCTCTCTCACATACACTAACTCTCACACGTGCATCTCTCTCTCACACACACTGCTTCAATCAGATTCTTTCTCCCTCTCTCACACAAACACTTTGTCTCTTAATTCTCGCTCTCACACACTGACCCACACGATATGTCAATGGCACTCTCAGTCTCTCTCTCACACACACAATGTGCCTCTCTCACTCTAACTATCTCTCTTGCACACCTACACTTTGTTCCTCACATATTCTCAGTCTTTCTCACACAGACTGTGTCTTTTCCACAGTCAGTATCTCACTCACACACAGATTTGTCTCTCACACTTGGTCTCTCTATCTCAATCTATGTCTTACATTCTCAGTCACTCTATCTAAGACACATTGTCTCGAATACACAATACAACTCTTATATCTCTCTCTATCTGACCCACACATTGTGTCTCTCATACTCTCTCACAAACACTGCGACTTTCACACACTCAGTCTCCCTTTACAACACCTGTTTCTCTTACACTCAGTCTTTTTGCCACTACCCGTGTCTCTTACATTCTCTCACTCCCTCTCCACATATCACTCTCACACTAACAGTCTCCTTCATACTCTATATCTCTGACAATCTTTCAAAATCTACCTCTCTCTCTCTCTCTCTCTCACTCTCTTTCTCTCTCTCACTCTCTCTCTCTCTCTCTGTGTCTGTAACTCTCTCTTTCTATCTCTCTCGCTCTTTCGCTCTGCTGTTATGTAAACTTCTCTCTGAGAAATTGACGTCCAGTTCAATATAGTCTGTATTCAGGCCAGTTATTAAAGATCACTCGACACTACTGGGAAAAGAGATGGGAGTTTCTCAGATGAGGGAGTTCATACATGCACAATTTAAGCGGTATGAACGTTTTGTTATTAGACATGATGTTAAGTAGCAACGGCTGATGTGTAGCTGAACCATTGCTATTGCGTAAGCTTTGCACCTTTACCGGATATGCATTACAAACCACAAAAAACTCCCTGCAAAAACGGCTCATATATTTGACCACAAAGGAAGAAGAAAAACTGAAGCTAACGTTAGAGTTTCCAAAGAAGATTTATTTTTCTCCACATTTCTCTGTACAGAAACCGGCTACTAATCTCCAATGTGCTTTATACAATAATAATTCTTGCATTTGATGTAGTGTCTAACCACGTCTTGAAAGCTCTTCATATGATAAACTGTAATTTGTTGTGACCGTGTTTTATGGATGAAACGCAGCATTATTACATTACAAGTATTTTTGTGGGTCGTAACTGTACCCAATTGGCTGCTGCTTTCCTCTCACAAAATATAGAATTAATGCGGAGTGGAGGGCGCTGTATTTTTGAAAGCTGTTGCCGCTTACTGATATGATTAACAATACTAACAATAATAATATATTACTAATACTGATATCATAATAATATATTAATAAGACATAATAATATAATAACAGCGATAACAAAAGTAATAAAGTAAAAATAATAATAGGTTACTAACAATAATAACAAACAGCAAATCAACTAGCAACCAGCACTTTCCCACCGCACAGGGCACAGTCTCAGAGATGAGCAATGGTAGACTCTAACTCCAACCGGGTGGATAATAAGAGTAGCAATAATAATAATAAATGAAGGAGCGGAAACTTTCTGACGTCCCCCTGGTGGGGGAAATTAGGAGCGGTTCGATGTGTTGAACTTACGAGAGGGTGAGCGAGGGGGAGAGGCGTGCTGACGTTAAGACTTGGGAGGGAGAGATGAGACAGTCACCTACAGCGAAGAGTTGTGCCATAAAGCCTTCACACACATTCTCGCACAGAGGCAGAGAGAGATAGTTGAATGCGAGAAAGACCGAGAGAGTGTGAGTGTGAGAGACACAGAGAGAGAGTGGGTGAGTGTACAGTGAGAAAGAGTTAGTCAGTGTGAGGGAGACAGAGAGTGTGAGTGTAAGAGAGAAAGAGAGAGGGTGATTGTGAGAGACACAGAGGATGAGTGGGAGAGAAACAGAGGGAGAGTGAGTGTGTGACAGAGGGGATGTTTGGAAGGAGAGAGACACAGTGGGAGTGGCATTTTAATCACATGTGTATCTCTCACTCCTGTCACTCTCACACTCTCCCTCTCTTTCTTTTTCTCACTCACCACTGAGGGGCATGACTCCCTGATATCGATCTGCAGTGCTTGTGCAAGTGTAAGTGGAGGATGGATTTAGGAGAAGCTCATACACACACGCAATTTCTCTCTGTTTCTCACAAACACGGTTTGTCTGTCTCACACAGTCACTTCGGACTCTCTCTCTCACAAACACTGTCTATTTGCCTCTCAAACACTGGCTCTTCCTCACTCACACATACAGATTCTCACTCTTACACAAACAGTCTCTCTGTCTTTCACACACAGTCTCTCTCTGTGTTTCGCTCACACATAAATCGTCTCTCTCTCACACACACACAGTCTCTCTCTGTTACTGATACTCACAGTTATTCTCTATCACACGAAGTCTCTCTCTGTCTCTCACATACACAGTCTCTCTCTCTCGTTCACACACAAATCGTCTCTCTCTCACACACACAGTCTCTCTCTCTGTTACTGATACACGTAGTTTCTCTCTGTCTCACATACACACTCTCTCTTTCTCTCACACACATTCTCTCTCCCTATCTCTCACCCACAGTCTCTGTCTGTTTATACACACTCTATCTCTCACACACAGTGTCTCTCTGTCTCTCAGACACACTGTCTCTGTTTGCCTCTCACACAAAGTCTCTGCCTCTCACACACTGTCGCTTTATGTATGGCCTGGTTTCGTATAACAGGC